GCAGCGTCTCTGACCGGACTCTCGGTGGTCTGGCGTGCGCCGAGGGCTCGGACCAGCTGCGGCCCGCCCTGCTCCCGGCTCGCGGGCCGAGAAGTGACGTGTTGTTGGGCCCTGAAACAGACCCCACGTCTCGGACCCGACCGCTCGATCGATCGGCGGGATCGGCGGTCGGGCCGCACCAAGCCGATCGCTCGTCTCCCAGGCCTGTCGGCTGCCAGCCAGCGCCACGTCTTTCTCTCAGTGGCCGAGGAGCAGAACCCGGCTCTCGGCTCATGGGAACTCAGACCTGGGCGCTGGGCACCTGTGGTCCTGTGGGGCTCGTGCGCGGGGCCGAGCTCAGGGCCGGCCTCCTCGTGCTTAATCCAAAATCCAGATTTTAGAATTATTTTATAGTTTTTATTGTTTCTTTATTAGTGCCTGACTTTAGATCTAGACAACCAAAGTTTAGCTGGTTATACCTCTCTCCAAGCAGGATTCTTGAACTCAATTACCAGATTGAACCAAAATGTTTCTTAACCAGATTAATCCAGATTAACCATTACCCTGATTGAAGACCCCCAGAGCCCCTGAAGGACTGGGTGTTTGATTGGACCAGAGTTCAAGACCTGTGTTAAATGATTTAAAGACATCCGCCCACTTTCTACAGGTGTTTTCTTTCTTCACTAGCCTGATTGTGCAGTTCCTTAACTCATTGTCCTTTCCTTCTGTCCTGTGACATTCTCAGATGTCTTTTGGCTACTATGTCTGAGATTATTAAAACTAAAGATTTTGAATTTGATCTTTGTAAACTAAATGTGAGGTTGTAGGGCGCGTAGCCAATGGAAATGGTTGTGTAGGTAAAAAGGTTGATTGTGATGGAAAATGTTTTTGGTAGCTGGATATAGCAGTATAACTGTACTGTATTGAGTGCCTGTCTAGTGGACTGTTCGGCTAATTGTTTTCTTGTTTAGTGTATAAAATTCCTCTCTTTGTTTTGCTAACAAAAGGAAGCAGAAGGGAGGCTTTAACAGATGTCTGCTGAGAGGACAAAATGAAGAACAGAGTGTGTTCATCACTGGTTAACGGACAAGTGGAGTGTGAAGGCTGCACCTTGGGCCTGTATCTGACCCTGTGTGTGTGTGTCAAACCTGTATCTGACCGCGTGCGTGCGTGCGTGCGTGCGTGCGTGCGTGCGTGCGTGTGCCAGGCCTGTGTCTGACTCAAATGTAGCTTCAAAACAACTGAATAAAAAAGAAGTTGAAAACTAAAGATGAAAACCCAGATGCAATGGTAACATTTTTAGAACCGTTTATCAAAGTCCAGGCTTAATTCAGTGTTTACGTTAAAAATCTTTGTATCTGACAAGTGGCAGAGTTTTGAATTTTGTAAAGTTTTTAAAAAGGCCTTGAATTAGATCTGCCTTTCAGAGCATTTAACCTCTGTTTTTATAATGGAAGTCTTTTGTTCTTTTTATTAAAAGTGTATGTATTTTTAGTAAGAAACATAAGATACTTTGATCTGATTGTTTTAAATCAATAAAAAATGGTCTAGCTGTTACGTTACCCTCTGTTTTCTTATATATGCCTCACTATTCGATAGATTAATTAATTACACTTATATAGCGCTTTTCTTGACACTCCACTCAAAGTGCTTTACAGGTCATGGGGATCCCCTCCACCACCACCAATGTGCAGCCCCACCTGGATGAGGCGACGGCAGCCATAGTGCGCCAGAACGCTCACCACACACCAGCTATTAGTGGGGAGGAGAGCAGAGTAATGAAGCCAATTCATAGAGGAGGATTGTTAGGATCACATCCAAAAGCTGGATGTGATTTTTCACAGCTGGATGTGATCCTGGGATCCTTTAGCTGCTGAAAAACTAAACAGACTAGATGGGCTGACGCATGCCTGACGTTATTAACCAGAACGAAGCCCTTAGATTAATTGGCCAATCACAAACCATGGGCTGCCCGGATGGCCGCTTCTCGTCGTGGAGATTACGTCACGCTTGCTAAATGACGAGAGTGCGGCGCAGCGGGAGAAGGGAAGTGGAGGAGAGGCGCAGCCGCCTCCTGCACCCCGGGCTGGAAACCCACCCCTGTCATGTGACAAGGGTCGAACACTCCCCCCTCCTCTCCGACTTCACCGCACTGGGAATCCTGGGAGAGGGTAAGCGCAGCGCTGCTGTCTGTTTACACATCGTTTCTGCACGAATTTACTCGTGTTTTCGGCTAAGTTCTGGCCGGCTGGGGGTCCAGGCGGGGGGTCCCCCCGCTCTGGGCGGTGTGTTTCGTGCGCGGGGTCCCCTGGTGTTTTTAAACCTCGGCCCCGAGACCAAGTCTCTCCGTCTGTGTGTCTCCTCCGTGTGCCCGAGTGCGCCCGGCTCCCCCAGTCTGCCCGGGCTTTGGGTGAGCTCGGCTCCGGTACTTCGGGGTCC